GGTGGTGGTAGTAGTGGTGGTGGTGGTGGTGGTGGTAGTGGTGGTGGTGGTGGTGGTGGTGGTGGTGGTGGTGGTGGTGGTGGTGGTAGTGGTGGTAGTGGTGGTGGTGGTAGTAGTGGTGGTGGTGGTGGTGGTGGTGGTGGTGGTGGTGGTGGTGGTGGTGGTGGTGGTGGTGGTGGTGGTAGTGGTGGTGGTGGTGGTGGTGGTGGTGGTGGTGGTGGTGGTGGTGGTGGTAGTGGTGGTAGTAGTGGTGGTGGTGGTGGTAATAAAATTAATAAAATGTGAGAAGTCAAGATACAGCAAAGTAACAAAAGTAACGTGAAAAGTAAAAATAAAAAAAAAAGTATAACAAACAGTAACAAAATAAAACATTAAAAGTATAACTGACGTAATGTAATAAAGTAAAATAACAAAAAGTAAAAAAAGTAAAAACCAAAAGAAGCAAAAAAGTAACAAAAACAATAAAAGTAAAAAGTCACAGCAACAAATAAAAGTAAGAGTATGTATAAAAGTATGAAAAGTAAAAGTAGGAAAATAAAGTAAAAGTAACAATAAACGTCAACTAACAACGTATTTTTTCAATGATCTTTATAATACCTGTGTGTGTGTGTTGTTGTTTTGTGTGTGTGTGTGTGTGTAGTCTGGCCGGAAAACATATTCCTCTCTCTCTCTCTCTCTCTCTCTCTCTCTCTCTCTCTCTCTCTCTCTCTACGTCATTTTCTCAACCACACTTTCATTATCACACTTTCTCAATATTTTTTCTCACTTTGCACCACGACACTTTTCCCTCACTTTCTTCCCCCACCACACTTTCTCCACAAGATATTTCCTCACTTTCTCCCCGACCATACACTTTCTCCGCCTCACTTTCCTCCCCCACACACACTTTCTCCGCCTCACTTTCCCCTCACGTTCCTCCCCCACCATACACTTTCTCCGCCTCACTTTCCTCCCCACCACACACTTTTCTCCGCCTCACTTTCCCCTCACTTTCCTCCCCCCACCACACACACTTTCTCCCTCACACGTTCCTCCCCCACACACTTTCTCCGCCTCACTTTCCCTTGCTGGCCCCTAAATTGGCCGTTGGGCGATAAGAAGGACGCCCTGAACACACACCCCGGCCCCTGATAACACCTTCGGTAATTTTACTTTATCAATACGTTGTCACCGGAAGTCGATATGGCTCGTACACACACACACACACACACACACACACACACACACACACACACACACACATATTACCACTTTGTAAACAATACAATTATTCCGACATCGTTACCGGACACAACGAAATCATTATGTTTTTATGCTCTCTCTCTCTCTCTTTTTTTTTTTTTTTTTTTTTCTCAGTACCAGGAACAAGGCACCTTTACCTGGGTGGAATCTCGTGTACAAGAGCCACCTACCGAATTTGTAAAGATCACAGGTAAAAATAAATAAATAAAATAAACGAAGGAATAACTAAACATAGACTAACAATAGCAATAGTGAAAATATATAATAATAATAATAATAATAATAATAATAATAATAATAATAATAATAATAATAATAATAATAATAATAATAATACAAACATTCACAAGACAACGCCGAGGAACATTCTTGTGAGGGAGAAGGGTGAAGGTGTGAGAGAGTGTGAGGAGGGGAGGTGTGAGGTGAGGAGAGAGGAGGTGTGAGAGGGAGAGAGAGGCGTGTGTGGGGTGGAAGCCTCAAATCTTGAGGCAGACGTCCTAGGTTGATGGCCGGAATGAGATCTAAAAGCCTGGGAAATGGCTCAAAAATTGGGTGGGCCAATTGACCTCTGACCCGATGACCTTCACTACTGACCGATCTTGACCGGAATTATGAGGCTGGTGGGGATAAGGGTGGTAGGGATGAGGGTGTGAGGAACAGATGCTTGCCTCAATGAGATTCATACAGGGACTTCTGCTAACATTAGACGATTCTATTCAACTGGGAGGAACTATTGCCCGCAAAGAGTTAACCTAACTTACCTACCTTCCTGAACCAACCTACCCCTAACCTACCTAGCCTGCCTAACCCTTTCACCTAACCTAACCCCCCTCCTCCAAAGGTACTGTATAGCATTAGGTAATCTTCAGGTGAAATTATAAATGGTGTCAAATGTCCAGGTAATGTAATTAAGACCAAATAATGACAACTCTGTACCACAATATCCTTTAACATGGTGATCAGACTTAAAACAGGAGGAGGCAGGAGGAGGACGAGAGCGGAGGAGGGAGAACGAGACGAGAGGTGGATGAGGCGGGAGGAAGTTAGGAGGACGAAAGAAAACCGAGAGGGAGGAGGACGGGAGGGCGAGAAGAAGACGAGAGGAGGACGAGAGGAGGACGAAAGAAAAACGAGGAGGAGACGAGAAGTGGGCTAGAGGAGGACGAGAGAAGGACGGGAGGAGGACGGGAGGAGAGAGGAAGTTGTCGTCTGGCTGCATCAAGTTTCTACACGAGGCTCAACTGTCTCAGATAAGGCGGACAAACAGATAGATAGATAGATAGATAGATAGATAGACAGACCGATAGATAGATTGATAGACAGAAAGTGACAGACAGATACAGATCGATAGACAATGCAGGTAAACAATATACCTAGACAGCAAAGGTAAATAAACAATGATAAACAATGATAAACACAAAAGTCAGCTCAACCAAGGCTAGATAATATAGCCATTAATTACCTATGTTGAGCCTTACATAAAAAATAAAAATAAATATAAAAATTTTT